AGAAACATAATTGGATATGGGGTGTGAAGTGCAACTACGTTTACCTTTCTACAATGCAATAGGAAGGTCAAGATCAGAAGGCAATTCGGGTGTGGTAGGAGTTGGATCTACAAGCGGAATAAAAGTTGGTGGAGGTGTTGGTCTCTGTCGATGAGTATACACTTGACAGAACGGTGGTCTTTCAGTACGTTCCTACATTGGGAAAGGTGGAGACTTATTCACAATGGGAACAACAAGAATGGAATTGCCAACCAAAAGAGGAAGATGAACCTCTTTGGGAGAAGGAGGGATATCAGGACCTGAGAAGTACGAGACATATTCAAAGAATGTAATATCAGGACAAACAAAGGATTTCCGAGTCATAGGATTGTAGCATTTATACCCTTTCTAGGCCCTAGAGTAGCCAAGGAAGATACATCTAATGGAGCATGCATCCAACTTGTCTAGACCAGGACCAAGATTCTGAACAAAGCACACACACCCGAAGATCCTGAGAGTCAGGGGATATGGAGACAAAGTGGGAAATAAGATTGAGAACGGAGAACAACCATCAAGAATGAACGAGGGTATGCGATTAATGAGAAAGCACGCAGTAAGTACTGCATCATTCCAAAAACGTTTAGGAACATTCATATGATGAAGAAGAGACCGAGTTGTTTCAAGTAGATATCGGTTCTTCTTCTCAACCACCCCATTTTTTGAGGGGTGTGGGCACAAGATGTCTAATGAATAATACCATGTTGTTCCAAGAACTGCTGAAATGAAGAAAGAAAATACTCTTTTCCATTGTTGGAACGAAGAATTTTAACTGAAATACCAAATTGTGTACGCACTTCAACATGAAACTTTTGGAAAATGGAAAATAATTTGCTTCTTTCTTTCATTAAATAAAGTCATGTCATTCTTGAACAGTCATCAACAAAGATAACAAAATATCTATAACCATTATAAAACCCAATTCTAATTGGACCCTAAACATCTGAATGAATTAAATCAAAAGGACTCCACATACGACTATCAATTCTAGAACTAAAGGAAACCCGATGGTGTTTCCCATACTGACACGACTCAACTGCAAAGAAGACAGACGACTCAATGACAAAACAAGGAGCTTGAGAGCTTTAAGAGATGGATGGCCGAGTCTACAATGCCACTGAAGAGGAGTCAAAGAGGTTTGAAGTGCAATTGTAGAACCACCACCGTCAAGGTAATTCAATCCGCCAACTTCATGTTCTCCACCAATCTTCTTACCTGTCGTTAGATCCTGAAAAACACAAGAGGAAGGGTACAATGTGATAGAACAATAGAGAGATTTGGTTAGTTTACTAACAGACAAAAGATTAAAAGGAAACTTGGGGACATATAAAACAGAAGACAAAGAAAGAGATGTTGTGTTAATATTACCAACACCGTAAATGGGGGGGAAGTAGATCCATTGGCAAGGGTAACATTATTTGATGTGAAGGTTGGAGAAAGGGAGGAAAACACACCTGGTCATGTGATCAAAGGCTTTAGAGTCAATCATCCAAGGTGAAAGTTTGGATGCTAGGCAAGCCATACCTAAATGAGCAAGGGTGGCAATATTCTAATGTGAAGTGGCCTGAAGAAATCTCTCATACTCCTCTTTTGGAATATTCATCATCTCTTTCCCAAAAGTAGTTGTGACTGTAGAGGGTGTTGGATCAACTGGTTGAATATCACTGACTTCACTACCACCAATAGCTGCATGATTAGCCTATGTGGATGGCGGGCCATGCAGATCATAACAGAAGTTAACTGTGTGTCCATCTCTCCCACAAATGTGTGCATTTCCTAGTAGTGCTTCCTCTTCCTCTGCCACAGCCTCCCCTTGAATCACAACCTCCTCTACTGCTACGACCAACCATAGGGTTACCACGGCCTCCCTTAACTGTGTGACCACCTCCTCTATGCCCATAAGAACCGCCTCGAGTGCCAACAAGTGCTGATCTGTCAGGAGGTATGCTACTCTCTGTGGGACTAAGAGATATCCTACGGAACGAGCAAACACTTCTTCTAGAGTAGGGAGAGCAGACCCCCCCAATATTTGTCTCTGACAGGCTCATACTCTGCTTTCAGCCCCCCACCAAGAACCGGGTAACATCTAGTTGCTCCCTTTGTTGTTACTAAATTTTGACATCCGAAGTTAAGGGATGATAGACATTAAGTTCATTTCGAAGATTTTTTCATACTGCATAATATTCTTCAAGGGTCTGATTTCCCTATTGCAAATTGAAGTATTCCTGATAAAGCTGATAAACCCTTGTAATGTTGTCTTGTCCAGAATAGAGTTTCTTGTCATATTCCCATATATCCTTTGTTGCATCTAAAAACATGAAGTTAACACTGATTTTAGGCTCCATACTGTTCTACAATTGCGTCATGATTTGAGCATCCTCTTGCTTCCAATCATTGAAACCCGGAGATTCAGCAATAGGTTTCTCCTCTTGTACATGTTTCACTTTCTTCTTAGCCTTAAGAAATACTTCCACCGACTTAGCCCATGGAACGTAGTTTTCACCATTGAGTTTGATGGATGTCATCTACACACTTAAAAAATCAGAGGAAATCATTACACTCGATTTCTGGTTACCACTCACATCATCCATCAATGCCAGTTCAATCTACAAAGCTGGTTCTACCCATCACAAAATAATAATAATAATAATAATAATAATAATTCAGTTCCAAACACTGCAACTATTGTTCTTCGAACACTACACCAACACACTCGTAACCACCATGAACTTGCCCAAGCATGCATTCAGCCACTTTGAACACTATTGTATTGTGAATAGACAGTTTTATAACCATAGAAAATCCCTCTTGAAACTGCTCATTAGAGGGTTTAGACCACCATGACAATAACCACTCGACCACCACAGCTATCACATATGGTGACAGTAGTCCACAAAAAAAAGAGTTTTTTTTTCTTTCTTTCAATAGGACTGTCGCACTCTCCCCCTTTCACCAGTAATCAAGCCACCATAACCCTTGGACTGTCGAATGGATTGCCACAGATATTATTTGGAGTTCGCCACAACCTTCTCCACCACCTATTCCAGATTGCGCAGACCAGGAAAAAAAAACGAAAAATAAAAAAGAAGAGGAAGAGTTGATTGACTGAAGCTGTAATCTTCCTTTATTAGTGGTGCTCTGATACCATGTGAAAGAAGTCCAGTCGAACTAAGATAGAAAAGAGAGGAGAGAGAAGGGAGAGAAGAAGAAGAAGAAGAGAAAAGTGTCGAACAGAGAAGACAAAGAGTCTCACCTAGTTGACCATCTATTTATATTTATCAAAACAATATATAAAGTCAAAAATGCCCCTACATATGTATGGGACATATACATAACACATTACTTAAATGGAAAAGACTGGAATACCCCTCTTTAGCCGACTCTACAACATCCTTAACTGGAGTTACCCAAATATTAAAAACCTAGTTACTGTCTAACTGGCTGAATCATGTTATGTGAGAAATCTACCATATTTTTTCCACTAACATCCACATATTGTAGAATTGTGACATTAAGTCTATGAGGACCTAAATTGAAATCTCCAACCAGCCTCACTTCATTTAGGGGCTGTTTGGCAAGTCTTTTTTGAAAGATCTTCTAGAAGCTTTGATTGTCAAAAGACAATATGAGCTTTTGCATCAAAATCTTAGCAGCTTGAAGACCGTTTGGTTAAGGCGTGTCTATTCGTGTGTCTTTCTGCATGGAGACAAGTTGAAAAAAAAAGGCAAAAAGCTCCATTTGGAGCTTCCCGAAAATAGCCCGAAATGGGCTTCCCGCATCTTTTCAGGGCTGCAGCTTTCAGCAGCTAGATCTTTTCCCAACCAAGCGGGAAAAGACCAAAACACGGGCTGCCAAGCTTCTAAAAAGCCGACAGCCCACGTGAAAAGATGCGCCAAACAGGGCCTTAATCATCAAATTCGGATCTAGTCCCAATGGCCATTGCAGTCGTGCATTTGGAACATTTCCCTTGTCCTTTATGGAGAGATGTTCCCAATGTACAACTGCAATAGCCATTGGGACCAAATCCAGACTCTTAATCACCAATACAAACAACATGGGAAGAGGGGATCCTCTTGCATCAAGACTCTTGAAGCATGAAAATATTCAATAGGAGATCCATATTCGTTTATCAACAATGAAAAATACATTGAAGGCATGCAGGCAAGCATCCGGCTTCATTTTTCTCCAAAGTTTATCCTATTCATTACTTATGCTAGGAAACCCCACTTAGTATGATCATAATTCTTTTCTAGGCCAATATTACATAAGAATCCAGCTTCTCCACTCCTTATTCCAGCATCCACAAGCTCACAAGCCACAAGAACCCCATCCAAAAACTAACTTCCTTCACTAGCCTCCTTACTCATAGAGTTCAATAAGGAACCTTGAAACCATAATTTCTACATTGATGCTTAAAATGGAAAAAAACAAAGAAATGTGACAAGGAAATGATGTTGCAGAGACAGACTGCTAAAAATAACTTAGTTAAACTCTATGTTTGCAAACTATGTGTTCTACTGCCACTTGCATCTATATTGGGCATATGGTAGAACAACTAAGGTAGTAAGTTACAGAAAAGAATTTGTCCTTGTAGTAAAAAGCAAAATGCAATCTAACTTGGACAGTGTCTAAAACTAGATATCAATAAACTAAAGCATGGTGAACATGCTAACACTGGTTGTGAGCCAACAGATTCAGAAACAAGACTGTGTTCTCTTAGTCCGTAGTTTTAATCAAACATGGAAACCTAAAAATGACTGACTTTTCACAAAAATCAGAAGTGAGCCATAGTTTCTTTTCTTTACCGGAAACTGCTTTCTAAAACAAAAAAGAAAAGGCAGCATCAAGACTATTTGTGAGGAAAAAAATTATGAACCGTGCAGATAAAAATCATGAAAGCAAACGAGCAATGGGGATAGAGAGATATTACTTGGGTAAAGCAGGGAACATGTAACGAGTCTTACCTGTATTGTACTCATGAGGTTGCAGCTGCTTTGCACGGGCCTTGTCAACCAATTCTTTCCATTTTCTTGACAATGAGTAGATATCAAGCTACGAAAACCCATTGAAAAAGAAGTTCCTTTAGAATTAGAAACAATTTTAATTGTTGCGGTTTTCAGCCAGATAATGACCCCCCCCCCCAAAAAAAAAAAAAAAAAAAACTTTCAGCTAGTCAATCAGAGCGCTAAGAACCTTGTCAGCATCCTGAAGAACTGGTGTGATCAACCCGCCATCCATAGCTACAGCAACAGCAATGTTTATGCTACTATTGTATGTAAAGCTCTTACCATCCCTACAGCTAGAATTCACAACTGGGTGTTTGACCAAAGCAAGTGCAGTTGCCTTTGCAAGCAATGCTGTCATGGTTACTCCCTTTGATTTAATCTGGAACATTGCCAAGTTCATTAAAATAGAAAACAACATCAAATTACAAACGAATTGATTATTTCATTACCATTTCCTAATTAAGAAAAAGAAGTTATGGGTGATCAGAGAAACTTACTTTCTTGTATAGTTGGTCCAGGGCATCTGTAGTAATTGTATATCCAACTCTAAACGTTGGCACCGTGAGGCTCTGAACCATGTTTCTACTAACAGCACCCTGCATTGTCGTGAACGGGACAACAGTACCCAATTCAATGCCCGGGGTGGTAGAAACCTTGGCAGGGGAGGGAGCAGGAGAAGCAGCTGGTTTTGGACTCTCAGTCAAAACAGCAGCAGCAGCAGCCGCCTCGACATCTTTGGCAACAATTCTCCCCATCGGTCCACTCCCAACCAGAGAACCCAAATCCACCTTCAACTCCTTTGCGAGCTTCTTTGCATAGGGAGAGGCAACAATCCTCTTTCCCCCTTCAGAGGCCGGATGAACTGAAGATGCAGCAACAACAGAAGGCGCAGAAGCTTGCTTGGATAGAGACGGAGCAGGACTTGAAGCTACAGCTTCTGGGGTTTTCTCCTGCGGTGGCTTCGAAGCCACAGTCGACGAAGAAGCAGAAGAAGAAGAAGAAGAAGAAGAAGAAGAAGAAGAAGAATTGGCCTTCGATCTGGCCTCAGCTATCTCCTCCTCAGTCTCTGCAAGGAGAGCAATAGCGGATCCAACAGCCGCCACACCACCCTCCTCGACCATGATTGCAGCCAAGTAGCCATCGTAGAAAGTCTCGACGTCCATATCAGCCTTGTCGGATTCGACAACAACGACACTCTCCCCTTTGGCGAGCTTATCGCCTTCGGACTTCACCCAGGAAACAATCTTCCCTTCCGTCATCGTCGAACTCAATGCAGGCATGAAGATCTCCCGGATCTTGGCCTGGATAAGGGTTCTATTGGAGGGATTGTTTCTATTAGCTGGAGGCAAAGAGCTAGGGTATCGGAGGAGTTTCGAGGTGGAGGAAGAAGGGATGAAGGAGGTTCCAATGTTGAGTAAACCCGCCATTGTTTTCTTGGCGAGAGATGGAATTGAAGAAGATCGAAGAAATGTGGAAATGCAGAAGAAGAGGTAGTTAAGGTTAGATTGCTGTCTGTGTAGTTATTCTTCTCGAATGCATCGAAGGCAGGCGGAGGTCTCAAAGCTCAACTACTTCCTCGCTGGTGCGTGTCCCTCTGTTTTCCTCTGGTGTTTATGTTGAGTGGAATGACTGTAGTAGCCGGTAGGGCTGTGATTCTGTGAATGGGCTCCGAAAGTCCGACCCCGATGTGGGGCGCAGATCTGATCCGATTATTTTGGATTGAAATAATATATTTATCGGAGCGGAGATCAGATCTGCGCCCCACATGCACATCTCAGCGTGCATTGGGAGCATCTCCCCAAATTGTCAGCGGAGGGATTTTACACGGTTGGGATATGTTGTGAGGCGTTTATGGGGGCGTATATGTGAATTCCCATCCCAACAGCCTCTTGCACCCTTGCATTGGGAATATCTTCCCATGAAATAAAACATATGAGTGTGGAGATATTTTCAATGCAAGGTTGTAAAGACTGCTCAAATGGGTGTTGCCTTGATGGAAGCCAAATTCATCCGTTTGGGAGGGATTTTACACACAGTGCCTTTGCATTTTGAAAGTCGGCATGCCGTCGAAGAATTGGGATTTACTTCTCACATATTGCACCTCACACTGATTTTAAGGCTTATCCCATTGTGTATTCAAAATATCTCCCTATGAATAATAACACAAAGTATGGGAAATGTTCCCCAAGTGGAGTTGGGAGGCATCATTAGGTTGGTGTGAGGAGAACTCTTTGAGGAGTCTGGATGGCAAGCCAAAGAGCTATGTTTATAGCCTAAAATATAATTGGGATATGCTCCTCACACCAACTTCACAACATGTTTCAATCATACATTAGGAATATTTCGCGTATTTAGGTAATTATTCATGGGAGATGTTCCTAATACATAGGAGGATGTGGCTATGAGGTTGGTGTAGCAAATCCCAATTCAAAATATAGTTTCAGTTAGGTTGTATTTGGTTTGAAGGAAAAGAAGGGTCTCTTCCTTCAAACCAAATATAACCTTAGCCAAAACAATACAATGAAGGGCTTGGATTCTCTCTCTACAAAATTTTGCATACACCCTGAAACACCGACGTCCATACACATTGGGAATATCTCCTGTACATGTGTTGAATTCATGGGAAGATGTTCCTGCAAGTGGATACCAATGCTTACAGGGTGCATACAGAATTTTTGTTGGGAGGAGATCCCATGTATACTTTGTGAAAGCACCTATATCAAAGCTAAACCTTCCCAAATGGGCCAATTAACTCGATTTTAAAAGCTATATCTGATTAATATTCGGATTCAATGTAAATTGTTGAGTTATGAGTCAGTAAGAGCCCATTTGCAAGGGCCGAACTGAAGATTCAGCTAAGTTGATTCAATTGATTCAACCCACTATGGATAAGCTATTTTAAAGATGTTGAAGCATACAACCCTTCAAATGACTAATTGGCTCTCCTAATCTTTCAACAAATATGTAGGGACCAGCTTACAAAACCAAAAGCCATTATACTTCAACCATGGGCACTAAATAAAATTTCAATTCAATATGTTCATGCCTCGAAAACTGCTCAAATGGACCTTATGTGACCCTACTTTGTTCCTACCCTTGCCCCCTTGATTGTAGAACAGCAATATTTAGAGTAAATCTATGATGCCATATCCAAAGAGCTTTGACCAATTCTCCCACCACCCCCCCC